GTCCAGCACAAAAAGAAAGTGGCGATGACCAAGAACAACCTCAAGACTCCATGATGTTGAGTTTGGTTGGGATTCTGCGGGCTACTGCTATGGATTTGAGCCAAGAATGAGTGCAGACGTCCACCAGCTGACTTGGAAGACATCTCAGATGGTGCATCTGGAGAAATTTCACCAGGAACATCCAACTGATCCATCACAAACTTCCCACTCACATGGTACACCAGCTTGGATGGTGTGAAGGAGTCCATGAATGAGTGTTGGAGATTCAAGACAGATGGGGTCCTGTTACGTTGGAGATGTTCTTCCAGACTGTGAATCCTCCTAGCGTGGTACCGTGCCACACGGACAATCTTCACATAGCAGAACAGGATGACTATAGCTGGTAGAAGAAAAGTTAATGAGGCCATTATGATGGTGTAGCTTGGGCTGTTGGCCCAGTTCACTGCACAGCTGTACATGGGAGCCACGAAACTAATGTTGCTCCAGCCCAAGAGAGGAGGACAGCTGGTCACCATAGCTTGCAGCCAGATCCATAGCACTGCCAAAACTGTTCTCCAAATTGTGCAGCGGGAATCGTACCGCAGACAGTCCACAATGGAGAAATAACGGTCCAGGGCGATAGCAGCAAGTGTTAAGACTGATGCTGTGCAGTATACTGAAGATGTGTAGCCGACATACAGACATAGATCCTGAAAGAGCAAGAGAGAGTACAACATTTTCAAAAACACTAATAAAATGTGATTTTATGAATTAAAGGTGATGCATGTCATTTTTAATGCTAAAGTAAACTGTGGTTCTGTCAAAACCATGGTTATGTTTGTTTCAACATCAGTTTAGTCCAGGAACTTTTAGCCAATGGCACAAGTTTGGGGGTGGGACAAACGGTTCGGTCGACCAATTGCAAATAGTGGGGGGACTTGTTTGGAAACAGTGATTACTTTTGCGATTCTGTTTGGTGGTGCTAGGACTTGGGAAATTACACACTTCCACTTTAAGGTATTCATGTTTGATGATGTTTAAAAGAAATTTAACATTCAGTAATATTATCGATTTAACTTTATTGACACAATAAGATGAAAAATAATGTTTGTTCTGAATTGAGCTAGACACTAACTTTAAAACTGAAATTGAACTGAACTAAATCAACATGGACACTATTGCTTTCTGTAGAGCAGCTTATAGCTGAACTGAACTTGTTTCATAATTGATTGATTTTACAGCATTAACACTGATTTTCCTGTTTACACTGATTCTGCTTTGAAACCTTCTGTACTGTATAAAGCACTATATAAATAAATGTGACATGTAAAGAATGTCCTACTTACATTGCAGTTGACCCATCCGTTGTTCATAATGGAAACGGCCACAAATGGCATTACTCCTATTCCCACTAAGAAATCACTAATGGCCAGATTGATGATGAGGACGGAGGTCACAGTGTGGAAGGTTTTGGTGGCTGCAACAATCACAATAACCAGAATGTTTCCTGACAAGAAAGAACAAAAGCACAATAAAATGATAAATAAAGTTTTATATGCAGTTTATAAAAAAATAATAAATATTTTTGATAGATTATGTGATTATATTATATTATTATAATTTTTTGGACTGAGTAAAGTGTTCTCAGTTCTGAAATTCATTGCAAAGTATTTATGGTTTTTTTTTCTTTTTTTTCATAAATGCTATAGAATTACTGTTGGTAACATTTTATATAAAAATATTAGTAGTTCATTAATTACCACTCATCATCAATCACGCTTGGACATTAACCAATGATCTATCCTACTATATAATGAATCATTCCTGTTATGCAATAACTAATGAGCTCTATATAAACGAACATAAACCTCTACATCTACCACATTACATTTTCCTGCACAAAACAAGAAATTCCATGAAAAACAATCTTAGTTCAAGATATATTCTCTGAAAACAAGGCTTACTATCTTAGTTTTCATTCACAGAAACTTATTTTAAGTGTTTCAAATTATTTCATGGATGTTTTTTTTTTTTACTGGGAAACCAAATTAAGAAAATGTTTTTTGTAATCCTTTCAAATTCTAAAATCCTAATTTCTGTAATTTTTGTAATCTAATAAAGTGGAATGTTTAACCACATAACGCCGACAATACATGACAAAATTCATCAAATTGTTTGCTAACACTTACTAATGTTTGTGTTGTTTCTCATCAAAATTGTCACATTCTATAAGGGCTATGGATTTTGTTAGCATTATTTTATCAATGGAAACAATATTCACAACATGTATTCTTTTTAAATATTCCCTTTTCCGTGTTGCAACTAATAGAAATTAACAAATCATCTGAACTTACTTATACCCTATTAATTCCTCAGATATTGTTAGAAATCAAATGCAAAACTTTCTCCTGTTCACATGACGACTCTAACATTCACAGACATTAATGAATTGTCTTGTTGAGTAGAGTACTGCTCACCCGTCACTGCGCCCAGACTCATCAGCACCATCAGAGTCTCCAGCACCAGACGCGCCCGAGGCCACAAAACCGTCGAGTTCCTCGCCGCCGTCCGCATCTGAAACTCAGCCTCATCTGAATCAAACCACTCCTGAGCAGAGGACTCCATTTAAAAACATTCAATCTGAAATGGAAACTCTCTGAAGAGGGAACCTGATCTCATGTGCGCCACAAGCAACCTGGCCATTTACAGTTTTAAACAAACAAATCTTCCATCATAATGAAAAATGCCTGAGAATATATTACAATACTCAATCAAAACAACTCATCTACACTTAAAGCAGACAGTTTGCTTCTCACCGCTCTCTGGTTCTTCATCTGCCGTGTGAGCACCTGACAGTGCAGTTTAGTATCTCCAGGGTCCCTCCATCAACCAGCGGTTTATCTACAGCAATGACAACATGGAAAATCAAACGCTTGACTTGCCAATTACACAGCAAGAGAAAACAAACCAGTTGAATATCTGGTTCATTTGCACTGACAGTTAGTTTCGCAAAGGTTTACAATAGTTATGGATGTAATTAATTTTCACTTTTGCATTGCCTTTTTCCACAATAAGTGTGTGGGAACAAATATGATTCATGTAAATACGAATTAAATATTAACAAGGCACTCGTTCAGAGATAGAAATGTTTTTGCACCTCTTTATTTAACCTAAATTCAAAGCAATATTAAAATATTTCATTTAAAATATAAGATAATATACAAATTCATCAAACATCACTTTTAAATGTAATACAGAGTAAAAAATAAAATAACTCGAAGGAGAGAAAAAGGAACAACAGATGGTAGTGTGGATAGATGTCATATTTAAACATGAATGCTGCAGTTTTCCATCTTTCTAATCAAATTTGGGAAGCAAAATGCCTCTTATGACTTACTTGATTTGCATAAACACGCCTTTTCCTTAGAAAAAGTGGTGTGCAATGCAAATCTCCCAAATACTGATAGATATTTTCTGCTAAAACACAGAAAACTGTTCTGCAGTTTTACGAGCCAGTGCTCTGTCCTAAATGCTGGCGTGTATATTCCCACACCAGCAGGGCGGCGCTGACGTGCACATTGAGAGAGCGGGTGACACCGTGCTGAGGAATCTCCACACACACGTCCATCAGCTGCAGCAGGTTTCCAGGAATGCCTTCTCTTTCATTACTGCTCAGAGACAAACAGACACAAGCACCAGAGTCATGCACCAGGCTAACAATTTGGCTAATCTGATTTTTCTACTACCAAAAAGAATACAGCAGTAGCATTTGACCATGTTTACAGGCCGCATGAAATGAGTAGATCTGCAATTTTGGTTCCTGTACTTGTTTCAACAGAAATACGGAAAATTTAGAATACAACTCCGTGGACAAGATGAGTCAACAGTATTTTTGGTTCATTTTCCTGGAAGAAAAAGATTGTACATTTTAATGTATATCTACAAAAAAATTTCAACTTTTAGAATTACTCCAGCATAAAATAAAATAATATTTCCTGAAAGAAAAGGACTGTACATTTTAATGTGTATATATAAGCTTATTTTGTTTACTTTTAGCATATTTACACTAGCATATGGATGACCAAAAAAAGCTTAAAAATGGCTAAAAATTAAATATTTAATACATTTTTAATTAAATTTTTTTATTTTAATGGGCTTTAAAAAAAGATTCTGTAAAAAAAAAAAAAGCAAAAAATGTTACAAATATTTTAAATAATAAGTCTGACTGGCTCATCCTGGAAGAGACAAACTAACATATCTACTAAAAGTTTATTTTGTTAGCTGTTATACATACACTAGTATATAGCTAACCTAAAAGTTCAAATTAAAAATTAAATAAATTAAAGTAAAAATAAAATAGTGTACTGGATAGTACAGGGTCTTAAAATATATTCTGTAAAAATGCAGAAAATGTGAAAGTCAGTAGTGCTGTTTAGGCCTGCCGCTCAGTGCACGGGTGCAGACTGAACTAATAAACCAAGCTTTTAAATAATAAGTCTGATTTAAACTGCTGCTCAATAGCTTTGAATCAGTGGGATAATCAGGCATAATAATGCAGTGCTTCACACACCTGCTGCGTACAAAACATCAGGTGGCTTTACTGCCTCTAAGGCAAATGACTCAGCAAGAGCAATGATGAAACACACACACACACAC